GTTGAAATGGTGTGGGTCAATTGTCACTACTTGAAGTGAGGCCCAAACAAAGTAGGCTTGAGATGGATTTTTGAGTTTAATTATGAGCGATACATCACATGAGCTATGGCTTTTGGAAAAAATTATTGCATCTCCCCACTTTAATTGATATCAGAGCTGTGAGTCTCATGTTCAAGTCAATATAGAAGCAACATCTTTGATCGAGGTGTTATTTGAAGTGAGGCACAAATGGAGTTGGCTTGGGATGCATCCCCAGGTCTGACTTAGGATATAAGGTGGATTGCACCTGCCCATTAGCTAAAGCTTATGGACAAAGTGATTGCATCTCTATACGTTATAGTCACTCAAGGTTTTAACATTCATACTAATGATCACTCGACAAACAATAACATCAAACCCTATGTTGACGCCATTGAGTGCTAGCGTGTCATCAAATAGACTTATATACGAGGCAAGGTTGCAAATTCATCGTTAAGAAAGAAAAAAACACTTTACTATACAATTCAAGTTTAAAATATGATAACTAGAGCCTACTCACGTTTTTCTCATCTCAACACATTTCATCCACAAATCCCAACTTCTCAATTTTGCTGGTTTAGCATAATAAATGATACCGTTCAATGAAACATTGGCATATTTAGTGCTAGGTATGATTTAATGTTAATTTTTTGACTGGTTGACAATTAATGTAATAGTTGAAAACTCTAGTGGTTATTATGAATGAAATTAACTTCTGATTATTGACATAAGTATTCAAATTTTCAATGACAATTGACATGATGTGTAGGATTTAAATAAATCGACAAGAAGTTACTTTTGTCCCTGTCCGTTTGGAAAAACCCCTTCAACTAAGCCAAGCATGATTTGATCAACTTTCTGAAAGGTCAAAAGCTGATTTAAATGTTTTTCATATTTATGTGTAAAGCAAATAGATTTGATCAACTTTCTGAAAGGTCAAAAGTTGATTTAAATGTATTTCATATTTATGTGTAAAGCAAATAGAAATGGTGTTACTCATACTCCAATGGTCACTGGAATTTTGGGTAGTTATGTCAATAATCATTGGAGTTTTCAGACTTTTCCGTTATTTTTTTTTTCCTGAAAAACTTTAAAAAATTATACTAATCATCACTCTGCTAAATACATTAACATTAAATCTTATGCGAGGCTGTTAAGTGTCACCAAAAGATATTATTTATTACGTTAAGTCAGCAAAAATTATTAATAAAAAATGTGTTTACAACACAGTTTAAGCCCACAAGATCGAACCAAAATTAAAGTTGAATTAAGTTTTCTAATTCAAACATATATTAGGGGAATGTTTTCAATTGAGACTTTTAAAAACTTTTAAATACTTTCAATGATTTAAAAAGTTCAAGGGTATTTAGTTTAGATTTTTTTTTTTTTGTACTCTCTAAAAATATTAGTGTATTCAATAGTGACTTTTAGACTTTTAATGAGTTTCGATTAATGGTGTCAAGGAGTCGAGTCAAGCCAACTCGTGAGCCAAAACTCGAGACTCAAGCTTGACTCGAATAAAATGGTCCGAACTTTTTTACTAGTCCGAGCCGAACAAAAGCTAAGGCTCGAGCTTCCGAGCCACACGAGCAAGATCGGGCTCGCCCCGACAACCCAAGATGGGGCTTGGCCCTAGCTTGGAGTCGGGCCGACTGAGGCTTTTTTCGGCGGCTCAAGCCAATGAGTCCGATTGCCACCCGTATTCTGGATCTATTCAACTGAAACTATTTAAAAATCTCTATAAATAATGTGGTATTTAAAATATCAATGATTTTTAAAATTTTTTTAAAAAGTATCCAGGATACTATATATATATATATTTTTTATTTTTTTTTTAATTTTTTTTTATCCTCGTAATATTCTCTTTTTTCTCGTCTTCTACAAATCTTAGAGAAACGATTGAAGGTTTATTATTTTTTATTCTACCTATTATATTTGTTCTTTTTTCCCTCCCTCTCCCCCATTTTTATTGTTTCTCTTTATTTTATACAAAAATAAATTAAATCATAACTAAAAAATCTTATAATATTTTTTCTTTTTCTTCTTCCAATTTTCGATGAAAAAAACAATTCTTAATTAAATTTTATATTAAAAAGTCTATTCTCCCCCTCTTATGTGGAAATCCAAGTGAATTTATTTTAAATGAAAGTTTCAAAAGTCATATGAATTTTACAAAGGTCTATAAAATTTTTAAAATTAAATTTTATAAAAGTCTACAAAAGAGTTTAATAAATTACATATAAATCTATAAAAGTCCACGAAATCCACAAAAAATATCACCTAAAAAGCCTAAAAATTCTAAAAAGTTCCGATTGAATAAACCACTCTAAATACCAAAAGAATAATACAATTTATATTGAAGATTACCGATAATTGTCATACGTGACATACATATGATAATTAATCTTCACTATGAATAACATTATTCATACCAAAATCCTAGATCCCCAATTTCAGTTGACTTGGCATGATAAAAATTTTGTTTGGTGCAAGTTAATAGTTAATGATGCTGCATAAGATTCAAATTTAGTGTTTGTAGTTGTTTCGCGCGGGTTAGACGCTAACAATTAAAAAGGGATCAGACGATTGTGTATGGGACAAACCTCTTGAGACAAAGTCTCAAAAATGGGTGTTTTTATTGACGACGACTTTA